CAAGCTCGTGGAGATACCCAAGGGCGCCTCGGATGACACCAAGCTGTCCGCTACTCAGACTACACTACTTCGTGGTGCCGTGGGTGCTCTTCTGTTTCTGTGTTACACACGCGTGGACATCCTCGCTGATGTTGTGGTTTTGCAGCAGCACGTGTGCAGCGCCAAGATCATTCACTTGAAGATGGCAAATACTATCACGAGACGAGCTTGGCAGCATTCACACCTCGGCCTCATATTCACGAAGTTGGAGCCTCCCTATCGCATGGTTGCTGTGGCAGATGCCAGCCACGCGAGCAGCAAGACTTCCTACGCAGTCGAGGGTCAGATGGCGATCAAGATGACGGATCGAATGTACGGTCTCACTACTTCCGGCAAAATCAAGCCCGACTGGAGCAATGGATATGGACATTGCCTCGCACACTCGGCCAAGCGTGCGAAAAGGATTTCGCACAGCACTTCACACGCTGAGTCTCTCAGTCAACACGGATGTTTGACCCACTGCGAGCTGATCGCCATGAGAGCGACAGAGTTGACATGGCCAAGTCGACCTTCGCTCGAGGACCTCATCGAAGCAGACGCCGATGCGTGCTACGACATCCCGATCGACACCATGACAGACTGCAGAGATTTATATGAGCTGTGCACTGGCATGAAGGGAGTTCCTCAGGATCGATCACAAAGACTGATTATTCTATCACTCCGGGAGAAGCGGCTTATCCACAAGGTCAGACACGCTTTCTGGTGCGACACTAAGGACATGCTGGCCAACAGCCTCACCAAGCATTGCACCACCGATGAGATTTTCCACAACTTCCTGGCGACAGGCTACATAGAGTTCAAGCATGGCATGCTGGTCACTATCAAGGCCAAGAAGAAGAATGAGTACACTGAGGGAGACCTGGAGCGTTTAGCTGACGCTGACTGAGCGCCACGTCTCCTCCGAGCCCGGAGTCTCCAGGCAAGGATCTTTTGAGCCTGGGTCACCAGGCCCTCCTCGCCTGAGGAACGGATTTGGATTTAATTCATTGGTGGCCTACCTCTCCGAGATCGGCTACCTCTTTCTGTGCCCAGCCAGGGCACTGTTGCACTTCGACTACCTTGTCGATCACAATTCGTACTGTTTATTTTTGCGGCTCCCGCCGGCCCTGCTCGACCCTCGCGAGACGTGAGGTACCAGTGTTAGTTTCAGAATGATTGCTGGGGAATCTAGCATGTTTCAGAGAGCAGAATGGAGAACTCAAGAAGTGCAGGGACCGCGGGCGCTGGGGCTCAAGCTTGAAAAGTCGAGTGGAGGAGGAGGAGGAGGAGGAGAGGGGAGGGGGAGGAAGAGGAGGAAGAGGAGGAGGAGGAGGAGGAGGAGGAAGGAGAGGAGGAGGAGGGGAGGGGAGGGAGGAGGGAGGGAGGGAGGGAGGGAGGGGAGGGGAGGAGGAGGAGGAGGAGGAGAGGAGGAGGAGGAGGGGAGAGGAGGAGGAGGAGGGAGGAGGAGGAGGAGGAGGAGGGCAGGAGGAGGAGGGGGAGTCCAGGGCCCGCATCTCCACCACGTCCCCGCCCGCTTCGCGTCGGCGTGCCCCGCGCTCTGTGAGTAGGAGATCAACTACAGAGCTGATTAACCCCAGATTGGTTTGCCCTCTTGGCGGCCTCTTTGGCCGTTTTGAGCTCATCTTGGGCGTCTTGGAATGAATTTTTGGCGACATGGGGTTGTCGTGGAACGTCTTGGCGGCTTCTTGGGAGGCGTCAAGCGCTGTCGTGCAGCTCAAGAGCGAGCCCAGGGAGCCCAGACCGCCCCGTATGAGTTCGGTCCAGGGCCGTCCCGGGCCAGGGGGGAAGGGTCGAAATCCCGGTTTGGGGTTATTGGGGGGGGGATTATGTGGGGGGAACAATATCACACGGGTGGATACCGACAAGGGGTCGGCGGATTTGTTTCCAGATATTGTATTGCCCTACAGTAAGGACGCTGGACTAAGGACCGTTTGGGGTTCGGAAGGAGCTCGCTGTTTCTCGTGTTATTTAATCGTGTCGCTCATTCCGCCGGCCCATGTAGCCTCATCTCTGCCGTTTGCCCGAGGGATCGTTGTCAATGCGGCGTTGCTGGGGTCGATTGGCAGTCGTTTCGGGAGTCTCTTGGAGGCAGTGTTGAAGCCTCTTGTGGTCTCTTGGGGGCCGTTTGTGGTGTCTCGGGAGCGTCTGGAGCGCAGTTGTTGGTCCTCTTGAGGGATCGGGGGGTCATCTTGGGGGCCTGTCGGGGCCTCTTGGGGCTTTTTGGGGGCTGAACGTTCGGATTTTCGCATCGCGCTCCCCCTCTTGGGCGCCTCTTGGGCCGTCTTGGGGGCCCCTTGGGCCGTTTTGGGCGCCTCCTGGTCCCCTCTTGGGGCCGTCTTGGGCTGTCCTGAGCGCCTCTTGGGTCGTCTTGGGGCCCTCTTCGGCCGTGTTCGGCCCATATTGGGGGCCAGTAGCTGTCTTGGGGCGATCTTGGGGGTCAGTATTGGACGCTCTGAACCCCCAAGAGTCGCAAACGCGAAAAATGCACGTTTTCGTAAGGAAATGGGGCGATTTTTCGTTGTTGAAACTCTTGGACGGCCTCTTGAGGCTCTCTTGGGGCTTCTTGGCGGCGGCTTGGGCCGTCTGGAGGCCATCTTCGGCGTCTTGGAACGATCTTGCGGCGACCCAGGGCCTTTCGGACGGTTTCGGGCGCGTCTCGGGGCTCGCTTGGGGCGTTCCTGGGGCGCTCTGGAAAGCCTGGAAGGCAGCGCCGAGGAGGAAAGCCATCTCTGGGCCCCACTTGGCCTGGACCTGCTCGGGGCACTTTTCGTCCGGGGGGCCCCAGGGGCCGCCCCGCGCGCGCGAGCTAGAAGACCATTAACCAGTTGCCAGAGATCTTGGAACGCCTCTGGCCCGTTGGGCCGGCGAATTCCGCGGTTGCTCTTCGAAGCAGGGCTCGAGCTAAACTGTGTTTGGGCAATTTCGTGGACCGTTTTCGCTTTGACTTCGTTCTGCAGCACATGTGGAACGAAGACAGAATTGGGAATGACGAAGGCAAAACGAAAACGGACAACTCTGTTGGACTCGAGCCCTGCTTCGAAGACCTCCTCGTGCACCCGGGCTCTGCACGCGCCAACAAAGGGGGCTTCGCTCCTGGTGTGGCGCTCCTTCGGACGGCGCCACGACGGCAACGGATCTACGACGGACACGGACTTGACATCGCTCGGACGTGTGCATTTTTTCTCGGCGAGAACCATCGAGGACCATCCTGGACCATCGAGCAAAACAAACACGCACGAAACCGAACAATGCACGGGAAATGGACGTCGGAGCGACGGCAAGGCGTGGATTCGCGACGGCTCCCATTTCCATGGGGAATCGCTGATGTCCGTCGCCGAACGTCAGGCGGCACCGGCCGCACTTTGGGGAGGGCACCTCCCCGGATCCATGCCTGCGCGCCCCCGGACGTAGGATGTTCGCAAGTCTGCTGAGGAGTCTGAGCGTTTGTCCGTAGATTCGATGAGAGATTTGGGTATGGGGTGAGCCAATTCTGTAGTCGATCCCCTACTCGATCTCTCTCGCTCGCATCGAGTGATCGATTCGAGCATCATGTGAAGATCAATCTGGATTTGTTAATGGCAAAATAGTTGCGTACACAGTTTAGTGCAGGCGAGAGAGACGGGTTTGAAGCAAAGTTTCCCCACCTCTGCAGCCACTTGCCTCAGAGTCCCCACAGAGGGCCGTGCTAGCAGCCCACTGCGCACTGTACACCAGCTTTGAGTCTAGGAAAGAAGGTCTTTCTTGTTTTGTTGTTTGCAGTTCTTTGTTTTTTTTGATCTCTCTCTCTCTCTCTCTCTCTCTCCTCTCGACTACACGTAAGAGTGACCCTTGATTTGAGTGACCTTTGGTGCGGGCCCACTGGGGTCCCCCGATCGCTGCATGCAACGCGATAGCGTCAGTTTGCGCGCTTGGGCATGCCCCCTTTGGCGCCCCCTCCTACAGCCGCGCACCAAAGGTCACTCTTGCCCAGGGTCACTCCTGCGTGTAGTCGATCCTCTCAGAGGCCTAGAGGTTGGCACCACCGCCAACATCGGCAGCGTGCCTCCACTGAGGGAAAATCGGCGTCACCCCAACATACTTATACTGTGTGTGCGTCGCCCCTCCAGGGGCGACGCGCGCACCGAGAAATCATACAGTATATGCGCCGTGGCGGGCGCTTTCTGGCCACACCGCTCGGGAAACGATATACTACAAGATGGGTATTCTATGTGTTCCGGTCGGACGCGCGCCTCCAAGGAGAGCATATAGTAGTAGTATGTCCCTGCGCGTCCCAGAAGAGGGTCTCCATCTCGGTGTTGATGGCGGTAGGAGTCGGACGTCTCAGGTGGCCGAAAGATTCCTTTCCTCTCTCTTTCTCTCTTTCCTTCGTGCGGGGATATCAGCTGACCACCTCCCCGTTCCTGGCGGGGCCGAACTTGGACCCAGGATAGACCCAGCCGGGATACGTAGGTGAGGCGGTCAGCTGACGTCTTCGGATCCCTCATCTTCAGCGCGGTGGTTGTGGTGGTCCGTCTTGTGCGCCGCCCAAGCGCCCGCATGGGGGGCAACGGAGAGGCACGGATGGAGGGCGGAGGGAGGAGGAAGGGGGGAACAGGGGGAGCATGACGACGATGCCGACGATGAGTGAGAGGGAGGGGGTGGGGGATTGGAGAGGATTGGAGAGTGGAGGGGGGGGGGCACGGGGAGGATGAACGGGGAGGGCGAAGACACGGCGGGCGAAGAGGGGGAGGTCCGGGAGAAGATAACCACGGGGAAGGCGGCACGGGGGGAGGAAGCAGGGCAGTGGGGAACGGGAGCGAGCGGAGGGGAAGCGGGATGAGCAAGGGGAGTCGTGCCAGCACGGGGGAACTAGGAGGCAGGAGGAGGGAGGGGCCCACCACTGGGAACGGCCAGACGACCAGGCCTTGTTCCGATCGCCAGGCCATCAGCCTTCGCGCGGTGGCCCGCAGCCATGAGGGCTCATGCTTTCCCAGTCGCGCAGAAGCAGACCCTGGAGAGAGTCAGGCGCTGTCTTGATTCGACGCTTAGACACGCAAGCGCGAGCCTGGCGAGCCACGTGGCGGCAGCCCAGAATCACGTACATAGAGGAGGTCAGGGCTGTGCAATGCTACCGCCCAAATAGGTACCTGGTGCGCATCAGAGGTGGCACTATGGCGAAGCTGTCATGCATATATAGAGTGCTCGTTCCCCCGTGGGGCGACAACATCACCAACATGCAGAGGAGCGCCTCTAAACGCGACTGCTTGCCCAAGCCCGCCATATTTGTGACATTGGGGTCTGCACCGACAGCAGAGCACTCCACACGTGTTTTCTCGGCGGCGCGCAAGGGGGGGAAGCGAGAAGGAGGAGACCTTCTCAGATGGATACGTGGCCTCTCAGGAGCCCTCCAGCCTTCTGAGAATTGCTCTGTGCCTTCGGGGAGGGTTTAGACAAATGTTCAGAAGGCCGGGGGGGCTTCGGAGCCTTTTGACAAGGCCACCCCCTCTCATCGACAACGCGTAAGAGTGACCCTTGGCTGGAATGACCTTTGGTGCTGGCCCACTGGGGTCCCCCGATCGCCGAGCGCGGTGCGATAGAAGCGTCTTGCGCGCCTGTGCTTGGTCTCCCCGCGGCCCCCAAAAAGCCGCGCGCCAAAGGTCACTCTTACCCTGGGTCACTCCTGCTTGTAGCCAATCTCACTCCCCTCCCGGGCTGGCCGCCGAGTTTAGTCTGACACTCTATACGCTTTCGTGTGTCCCCAGACTACCCGGGCCCTCAGGACCGGAGGAAGAGCATAGTCATGGCCTTCGTCATGCCATCGCCTTTTCCATACTATCAAGGCGCTATCAAAAGGACCTCTTTTGGCTCAGGACGAGCTCGAGTTTTCGGGCCGTCTCTTAGGCCTAGGCCAGGTAATATGTTCTTGACCAAGGCTCGCCGCGGTCGTTCCTTACTCAGATTTCCTCATGTCATAGCAACTGGAGAATGAAGAGGAGTACAAGGGGAAGAGCGGCAGGAAGAGAATGCGGGATAATCCGAGCCAGCCCGAGCCATTAATAGCCAGCCCCAGCCAAGGCGAGCCAATCCGAACAAATCCGAGCCAACCCGATCCATCCCGAGCCAATCCGAACGAATCCGAGCCATCTGGAGGAGGGGGGGGGGCATCTCATGGAGGGCACCTACCCTCCCCCTCGAAGGGGAGAGTTGGATCCGACAAGGGGGGGGATACGGCTCGAGATGGCTCTGCGGTATAGTAACCATGAAGCTCCCGTTGAAGACGTCCTCCTCCTCCTCCTCCTCCTCCTCCTCCTCGGTCCGAGCTCCGAGATCGTAGCTCCTGGGCGAGCTTGTAAGTCCTGGAGGTCGGCCTCCGTCCCGATCGGGCGGTCGACCCTCCCCCTGGGAGAACGAGGAGGAGTTGAAGGAGAAGGTCGAGCGGGAGACTCTGCAGAGGAGAAACAGGGCCAGGGTAAGAGGAGACGGGGGGCTTTGGTACGCGGCGCGGTGCAGAGTGCGCTGCGCTCTGGCCCGTGCCTTCTGAGCGGTGCCCTGCGGAACAGTCGGAGCGAGTCCCAGCCATCGGCGGAGAGCCTGCCTAGGGCGCCCTTGCAGTGCAGGGCACCATGCCTCTCGGGCGCTTCGCGTGCGCTGCTCCGGTGCCACGACCACTCTATACATGAGAGCTACGGCCGCGTGACCCGTGGGGACCTCAAGCCGTTGGTCACCGTGGAGTGCGCGGAGGACGAGGACCACCGCACCAAGACTACAGTGGAGGCCCATGCCAAGAAACACCCTGCTGGCCTCCAGGGTGCCCTCGGCTTCTTGGGCTTCGATGGTTTTGCGATGGAGAGCGTGGCGTTCCCGCACCACAAATGAAGGGACGTCCCGGGGCCTCGGGGCTGGGCTTCTTGGTGGAAGGTCTCTCGTGGATCGGCCCCCACTGTATGCGACTGGTGTGGATCTCGATTCTGTAGGCTTACGCCATATCCGCCGACCCCTATGAACCTACTGCGCCTCCAGGACTGCACTTCACGAGGCTTGTCCGAATCACGACACGGCGCCCGACGTCGTTCCTGTGGCTTCGTTGCTGTTATCGTACCCCTTGGTGCTCGTCTGTGGCCCTGCGGTGGCACCTTGGCCCGTCCGCGGGCCACCTCCGGCCGCCCGCAGGCATCCTGGGCCAAGCCTCCTGGGGGCCTCCTGGGGGCCTCCTGGGGGCCTCTGCGGTTCTCCGGGAGGCCTCTGCGGTTCTCCTGGGGGCCTTCCTGGAGGCCTCTGAGGCCTCTCCAGGAGGCCTCTCCTGGGGGGCTTCCCGGAGGCCTCTGCGGTTCTCCGGCGGCCGGTGAGGTCCCGATGTCCTCCCGCTCCGCGCGGGAGTCGCAGCGGGAGCGCGTGCACGGGCGGGGGCGCCGCCGCCCGTCTGCCGCGCGGTGCCTCTGCGCCGCGCGCGCGCGCTTCCGCCCCGCCCGTGTGGGCGCTGCCCGCGCCCAAAGGGCGGGCGCGCGAAGGCAGGGCTCGGGCCGTCTTGGGGCGCTCGAGGCCGTGTCGGCGCCTCCGGTGCCGATCCGATGCCGATGGCGTCCGATTCCGGCTCGGTTCGGCTTGGGCCTCCGGCTTGGACTCCTGCTCCTGATGCTGGAGGCCTACTGGCCTGCCGGCTCGGCTGCCGGTTTCCGCCGACCCGATTCGTTTCGATCGCCGATCCGGGTGGTCGATTCGATTCTGGTCTCTCCTGCGAATGTCTGCGAAGGCAACGAGCATTCACCGCGTGCCAGCTCAAGGCACTGCCAGGTTGATATTCCCATGAGCCTAGCAACAGCGCGCCATTCGTATACACAGTCCCGCGGGCCTCTTGGTGGCTTCTTGGGGCCTCTTGGGAGCTTCTTTGGGGCCTCTTGGGGGGCTCTCGGGGCCCCCTGGAAGCCTCCTGGCGGCCTCTTTGGGGCCTCTTGGGACCTCTCGGGGGCCTCTTGGGCCGTCTTGGGGCGCTCTTGCGCCGTCTGGCCCCTCGGAAACCGTCTTGGGGGCCTGTCGGGGCCGCCTTGTGGCTCTCTTTGGATCCTCGTGGGCTCATTGGGGCCTCCTGAGCCGTCTCGGGCGCCTCTGTGGGCCGTCTTGGGGGCCCTCTTTGGCCGTCTTGGGGCCTCTTGCGGGCTTATGGGGCCGTCTCGGGGCCATCTTGGATGCTGCTTGGGACGTCATGGGCCCCCTTGAATAGAACAAGGCGAGAGCGCGACCATATTGCAAACCCATGAACAAATCCATGTGTTTGGCCTCTGGATTTGCTCTTGGGGTTCTCCTTGTGGCCCTCCCAGGACCGTCTTGAGAGCCTCTTGAGCCCTCTTGGGACCATCTTGGGCCGTCTTGAGGCCGTCTCGGGCCTTCGGGAAGCTGCATTGAGTCATTTTGAGGCCCTCTTGGACCCCCAGGAGGCCAGAGGCCGATATTTGCCATACGCTTTGGTACGCTGCCGAGCTCCAGAAAATAGGGGTACACTGTGGACCGCCGATGTGGCGCGACTCCAGGGGAGTGTTAGGGTGAAGACATACTATTGTAAGAGAAGCCAACATGTAGCTATTCCGCATTACTGGATATGATGGACACGCTGCGTCACGGCATTCGTTAGAAAACGCTGCCGCTCAGCACGTCACCTCCAGACAGGGATTCCTCTAACTTCGCGGGGTGCCCGTCCAGAGCACGTTAGGATTGGTCGTTGGGTGGTTTGCCCTGTTCGTCTACCGCGCTGTTCTGCCTTTTTTTCTGCCCGCCCTTGGGCGCTGCCAGCGCTCCGGGGGGCGAATGCGCCGCCTCTCCGTTTCAGCGATAGGGCGAGCGTGCGAATGTATACAGTTCTGCGGGCCTCTTGGTGGGTTCTCAGGGCCGTTTGGGAGCTTCTTGGGGGCCTCTTGGGGGGCTTTGGGGAGCCTCCTGGGGGTCTTTTTGTGGCCTGTGGGGGCCTCTCGGGGCCTCTTGGGCTGTCTTGGGACGCTCTTGCGCCGTCTGGCCCCTCGGAACCCGTCTTGGGGGCCTGTCGGGGCCGCCTTGTGGCTCTCTTCGGGTCCTCTGTGAGCCGTCTTGGGGGTCTCTTGAGCCGTCTCGGGCGCCTCTGTGGGCCATTTGGGAGCGTTCTTTGGCAGGCTTGGGTCCCTCTTAGGGACCTCCTGGGGCGTCTTTGGGTCATCCTGCAGGCTGCTTGGGCCGTTCCGGGCCTCCGTGGATCGAAGAAGGCGAGAGCGCGAAGAGACTGCAAAACCAATGCGAAAACTTGTGTGTGTTGGACCTCTGGGGGTGCACTCGGGGCTCCCTTGGAGCGTCTCGGGGCCCTCTTGGACCCTTTCTTGGGTCGTTTTGGGGCCGTCTGGAGGGTCATCTTGAGCCGTCTTGATGCCCTCTTGGACTTCCAGGAGACCCCAGAGGCCGATATCATAGATGTGACCCATGCGATTTGGCACGTTTTTGGGCCCCACAAGGGGGTCTGCCACCATGGTCCGCCAACGCGCCATGACTCCGATGGGGGGATTCGGGGGATTACATAATACTGCACCTGAGCACAGTATGCGTAGCCACAATGTAATATTCTCCAAGCAGGTGCTTGCACTTAGGGGTTCTTACTTGCGTAACCATCTCGGGGTGAATGCCGCCTGTTGCCGCCTGTGCCGCCCGTCGCCGTCGCCGCCCGCGGGGATGATTGCCGCCCGTCGCCGCCCGTGCCGCCCGTCGCTGTCGCCGCCCGTCGCCGCGAATCCCGCCCGTCGCCGCCCGTGCCGCCCGTCGCTGTCGTCGCCCGGCGCCGCCACGTGCTTTGCTTTATTCTCTTGCACAGGGTGTCTAGAGCTCCGACCACTTTATTTCGGCACCGCCCCCCCCCCCCATCATAATCACCATCATCATCATCATCATCATCATCATCATCCACATCATCATCATCAT